GTAAAAAAATATTTCGTTTAATTTTTCACAAGTGTACGGTATTGCGAACGAATAATAAAATAATAAGTAGGATATCGTTCCCATGAAAACTATGTAGTTAGTCTATAATCAATTAATTTCAACTTTAATCAAATAAAAAATTTTATTGAAGAATTTATGCTAAATTAACTAAATAAACCAATTATTCTATTAAGCAATTTATAAAACCTTTGTAAATTTCGATGTGATATTACTAAGACCTTGAATCCCCCCTTATTAACCCGTTTCAATGTAAATCAATAACATGAGACTATGTCCACATTCTTGTTGATCATTGTTTCTAAATTAATTAAAAGCATCTCTCGATATCAATTAAATATATCATGTTATGTGACCTTCTTATATCTGTATAAAATATACGAATATGAAAATCATACATTAAAAATACTAGAATATCTCTATCCGTTATTGAACTTTACAATGATTGTTATAAAGTGCTTTCTATCCTATTGTTTCACTCGAATTAATAAAATTTACAATTAATTCAATTGATGATCAAGTAATTGAAAAGTTATTAAATCATACAACAATTATCCAAAAATAAACACATATTAGATGTCAAATTATTGAGTTTTTATTAAAAGATCATAATAAGTGTTTATTAATGTCGTAGTAATTACAAAATCACAAAAAAGCATGTTTAATTGGAATATCATAACGCATATTATTAATAAATCGAGAAGATGTAGGTGAAACTTGAAATCTAGAATCTCTTCAATGATTTTTTAAAAATCTTCAATTGTGTATTTTCTTCTTTGTCCAAAAATCAAAGATAAATCTTCAATTTGATTAAATCTTGAAATTGTCTTCAATTTACTCACATAATCAATAAATTTGCATCTATTTAATTGATGTATTGTTTGGCATTTAAAAGGTTCGAAAATTGTATGAAAATCACGTTAAAATTAGTGTTTAAGAAGAATTTTATGTGAAACAGGATTTCAGTTTCGCCTAGGCGCCCAATTACGATAGAATTTTCAGCAACCTAGCACATGGACAATAAGGGATAGAGCCAAGGGGATAGTTGTAATTTTTGTATATTGCAAATTGGTCCCCAAATTTGATTCTTAATTTTTTTTTAAAGTTATTTTCTTGTCTAATTTTGGTCATTTAACTTTTAATTACATAAAATTGAACCTGTAACATCTTCAATCTTTATTTTGTGATTTGAATAAACTATTAGAAATTTGTAATTAGTTCCCTCGAACTTTAGATTTCACATTTTTTTGCTTCTTTCTTTCAATTTCATGTCGAGTCACCGAGTTTCATCTATTAAACAAAATATACATTAAATTAGGCTATTATTAATCAAAGGAATTATTACATATCTTTATTTTTCTATCTGAATAAGTGTATAAAATACACTTATCAAATATATTTACTAGAATAAATTAATTAAATTAAAGAAAAATTGCAGCCACGGTACCATACCTTTCACTTTTTTTGTAGACTTTACCCAAACCTTTCATTTGTACCACCCACGGTACCAACCTTCAAAAAATTCACACCTCAAGTCCGAATGGATGAAAACCGTTACTTTGACTGTTAGTTGACTCCAAAAAATTATTTTAAATAAATCAATAAGGGTAAAATGGTAACTTCATAATTGTAAAATAAAAAAGGAAAATAAAAAAGTTAACACTATTCACCTTCTTCGCAAACCACCTCCACTCGCTCAGTGGATAGTCACTGGAAAATAGGGGTGTCCAAAAGTCCCGAACCGAATCAAGCGGTTTTTCATAAATTAAATACCCGAACGGGTACCCGAATCGAGAACCGATGTGTTTGGGTCGGGTCTAGACCAAGAATTGAAGAACCGAATAAGAACCGAAACTAAATAATTTTTTTATTTTTTATATTGAATTAATTAAATTATTTTATTTTTTTAAAACAAATTAGTAAATTAATTAAATAAATCAGATTATTTAATAATTTTAATTTTAAAGCTCAAATCATTTTTAAAACCCATTAGCCCATTTTAATTTGAAATAAATGAATATACTTTATGTAGTGTTGCTGTAATATTAATATCTACTTTTTGGTATTTGTATGCATTGAATTAATTTTATTGGACGGCTAGTTATTTATATATTTTTGAATTGGGTTACGTTAATTTGTAAAAGTTACGAATGAAATGTCATTAGTTGTATTTATGTAGTGTTGCTGTAAATATTAAAAAAAAATTTAATTATGGTACGGAACCGAACCGACTCGAAGGGAACCGAACCCGAACGGTTTTATAATTATACTTGGACTTGACGGGTCTATTTATTAAATACCTGAAAGTTTTGGGTCGATTCGGATCTCTTCCGAACAGAACCAATCCGATCAACGGACAGCCCTACTGGAAAAGGTCGTCCATTCTAGTCGGATCCATGTGCATTTGAACCTCTAAAGTAATGGGCTCCAGCTCTTCTTCTTCGAAATCATCAGTATCTTCTTCTTCTTCTTCTTCGATATCCACGATGTTATCTGGGTCGTCGGACTCAAAGGTGGGGATATCGGGTATCGGATTTCCATGTTGGCCAAAATGGGGGTCAGAGTCTGGTGGGGCCGGCATGGAGGGAGTAATCGTTTCTATAATCTACCCTGTGAAAGAGAGGGGAGCGGCGTGCTGCAGTGATCGGCGGTGGGAGAGTGGGAGTGGAGCAGGGGTATCTACATCAATAGTACCAACAACAGAATCCCCTTCCGATGTGAATTTCACCCCACCTGCTTTAGCCAAATCTGATTCTGCCAGTTCAACAAAATCCTCTTTTGCATCTTGTTCAGTAGCCAGAGCTTCACTATCAAAGACTCGGTCTTCTGATTCTTCTCATCCAGGCGAACCTCAAGCAAACTTGTACGACCATGGGTAACCATTTAATTGCTCCAATTGAGGTTGGGTATTTGTGGCTGCAATTCAATAGGTATTTGTGGCTGTAATTTATAATGCTTGGGTTATGAAGAATTCTACCTATGATGGTGGCGGTGGTGGTCGAACTTTAGGGCGGCGATGCTGAGGGTGGTGGTGGCCCTCGGTGGGTGGGAATGGGGATGAGTGGATTGGAAGGAAGAATGGTTTTTGTATATTTATTTTTATTTTTTAGGTTTTTTAATTTAATTTACGGTGGTGGTAGTGGTGGAAAAAGGCGACGACGGTGGTGGTGGTGGTGGTGGGAGGAGGAGGAGGAGGAGGCGGCGGCGATGGTCGTGCCGGCAATGTGCTGGTGGTGGTGCCGACACTGTTGATGCTAGGAAGGAGAACTGAATCCAATCTTCAGTTTTTTGTTTTGTTTTTTTTTTTTAATTTATTTAATGAGAAAATTGTCAAGTTACCATTTTACCCCTCCTAATTTTGTCAAAATTGGTCAAAATCTACTATTCTTGGTCAACTAACGGTCAAAGTAACGGTTTCCATCCATTCGGATTTGAGCTGCGAATTTTTTGAAAGTTTAGTACCATGAGTAGTACAAATGAAAGGTTTGGGCAAAGTTTGTAAAAAAGTGTAAGGTTTGATACCGTGGTTGCAATTTTCCCTTAAATTAATTAACTTAAGCATATTAATTAAATAATAAAAATAATCATTTCTACAAAAGTCTCACACTTGTCAATTAATTAACTTTTAATATCATTCTTTTAGTTCTCTATTAATTAACTTTTAATATCATTCTTTTAGTTCTCACATTTTGTGTGCAATTCATTAGGTTTCTGATCATGACGTCGGGTGACTTAAATTATTATTTTGATCTAATCAATATAAGATAAATTAAAATCCTCCTTTTGATTTATCATTAATTCACTTAAATTAATTAATTCACATTCGTCGTTTCTAATTGACATCTAGTAATGTATCGGTGCAATAGGTGTGAAGGAAAATGTCATGTCGTGTGACAAAATCAAATTTGTTTATTTATCGTGAAACTATAATTCTACGTCAATATGAATTAGTAGATATGGAGATGTTTCAATATTGATTAATTGATCATATCTTTTATCCTATTCTTAAGTCAATAATTGTTGAAATTCTTTTCGACTTATGAAATCACCTTAGCCAATAATTTCGATATGAATTTAAGCAATTGAAACATAGATCACATTCTCTTATTTTTTAAGAGTAATGAATCTTCTACTGATCATTCCCAATTTTCGTAAGATTCTTGACATACACAAACCAATGTCGTATTAGCACTTATTGATAGATAAATATCCAATATCACCAAAGTATAATTGTCCATATATAAGGTGCTATGAAGATTTCAAGTTGAAGGACCAATTCAAGAAATTAATCATTGACACTCCATGTGAAATCTCTATAGCAATCTCCAATATTTTGTTCTTCTAACAAAATATTCACACGTTATTTATATGTCAATTCAATATATTTACATAAATATATTTATCAAGTGGTAATAAAATTGTTGTTTTGATTCAATTTATTATACGTAAAATTGTAGCCAAGGTACCAAACATTTCACTTAGTTGCAAACTTTACCCAAACCTTTCATTTGTGCCACCCACGGTACCACACCTTTAAAAAATCGCAGCTCCGGTTCGATTGACGGCTTCCATCTGGTTGACCACCAAAATCATTAGTTGACCCCATAAATCAAAATAATTAATAATTTCCATCAAATAGACAGGAGCAATTTGGACATTACACGCTTTCCCTTCCTATAATTGTACTTCACTATTCACTTTCCCTCCATTTCCATTACTGTTAAAATCATGGCCGTCCTTGGCCCCTCCGCAGCGGAAAATCAATGCTCCTTAATGCTCTTGATGACCGGCTCCACCATGGACACGGCCTCACCGGCTCAATCGTTGCCAACAAGAAGAAATGAACCAAATCGATCCCAAAAAGAATCGGTTTCGTCACTCAAGATGATGTTTTGTCCCCGCACATAACAATTTGTGGTTCCCTAATTTTCTACTCTCTGTTAAGGCTACCAACTTCTCTCTATAGAAATAAGAACTTTTACATGGTGGAATCAGTGATTCGCAAACTGGGTTTGGCTAAATGTAAGGATACAATTATTGGGAACCATTTTATTCGAGGAATTCTAGGTGGTGAAAGAAAGAGAGTAAGCGTAGCACATGAAAAGCTAATAAACCCTAGTTTGTTAATTCTTGACGAGTCGACGTCGGGATTGAATTCCACGGTGGCGTTCCGGCTAATGATGACACTGGGTTCACTGGCGGAGAAGGGGAAAACGATAGTTGCCTCAGTGCGTCAGCTATTGAGCCAAGTTTACCAATCGTTTGACTCGATAGTGGTTTTGTGTATATATTTTGGTAAAGGCAATGATGCCATGAATTATTTTAAATCTGTTGGTTTCTGCCCTAGTTTTTCGCTGCTGGAGGAGCCAAGGACTGCCATGATTTTAACAGTGATGAAAATGGAGGAAAAATGAATAGTGAAGCGCAATAATAGAAAGGGAAAGTGGGTAATGCCCAAATTGCCCTCTTCTATTTGTTGGAAATTATTAATTATTTTCATTTCTGAGGTTAACTAACGATCTTGGTGCTCAAACAGGTGAAAACCGTCAATCTAGACCGGAGTTGCGATTGTTTTAAATATTTGGTACCGTGGGTGGTACAAATGAAAGGTTTGGACAAAGTCTGCAATTAAGTGGAAGGTTTGGTACCTTGACTGCAATTTTCCCTTTATTATATTCAAAGAGAGCCATCAAATTTATCTCCAACATAAAATGAGTAATTTTTGACGAGGTTTTGTTTTAGTATAAAAAATCTTTTTTTCACAAATTATTAGTGATTAAAAAATCAAAAAGGACGGCATATGTAAAATTTTAAGAGCACGAAATCACAACGAGGTATGTGAGCCATTATTACTGTGACTATAAAACCAACTAATGCAATTGAGCAATCACATAATAAATAATTTTACGTAGAATTTTTCTAGCCGTGAATCCACATTGGGGGTTGGTGCAATCTTCAACTAAAGATGAGTGATAATATGGTTTTATAGTCACCGTAATAATGGCTCACATAGAGATGAGTGATGTATAAATAAATAATGTATTTGTGATGTTATTGAAATTTTTGATTGAAAATGATCTATAAATTTTGCTAAACAGAGCGGATGTTGTGGGCACTATTTATTATGGGTCAACCAATGTAACATCGCAATTAACTTCTAAGATTTCAATTGTTTTTAATGGAGTTTTATGCCATTAATTAATTAATTTTTTTTTTAAATATGTGATGTATGATGGATGAGGAGTTTCGTGTTTTATTGTTGAAACGTGCACAGCTCTTATTTTTTCATAAACTAGTATGTATCGTGCTTTGCACGATTACCGTTATATTTTTTCTAAGTGATTTTGTTAAAATGATAATATATTTTAAAACGAACACTCAACCTCAAACCCAGAATCAATGGACAATCGCGGGGCGAGAGTTTCAAGATTGCTATTGGAAATCAAATTATATGTAACGGTTCGAACTTTTTTTGTTAAATCCAGTGTGCATATCCTGGACATAGATCATAATTTATTGACCTATTGCAGTCACTAATCAACAACCAAGTAAATCGAGTTAATACCTCATGTTTATAAAACTAGGTTTGGGGAAAAATAAATTTGATTTGAAAACTAAAACGATTTGACGTCTGAACATCCGTTTGCTATCTACATCATCTAAAGACTCCTGAATGATGTAGTGCAACAATTGTTCAACCTGTGCTCTATCTATCAAACTAAATACCAATAAAATTGCACATTGTCTTCACAAAACTTCAAAACTAAAAGTGAAACTAGCAGGTCATGGTAAGGGAGTGATTGCCAAGGAACCATGAGACACACATAGCATAGATGACAATACTAATAAAAAGAAATATGCAGTTGCAAAGTAAAAGTGTCATACAAATTTATGAGGAGACTATTTAATAATTTGCATTCTTTGATTATCTCTTCTTCATCCAGAAGCTCTTCCAATGTAAAATTTTCCTTGTCCAATACCGAATCAACCTAAAGGTAACAAAGAAAATATAAAAAAATTACTAATAGGAAAAAGGACAAAGGAGGAAAATGTAAACCATAATTAGGCCCTGTTTGGGATGGATTAGATTTTTATACAGTAAATCAATTCTCATTTTCAACCACACATTTTTCAATAAAATAATATTTTCCATCACATCAATAATTTTTTCTTCTTTTTCAACCATACATTTCACATCATATCACTATTCAAAATCAATTCTTCCCTCAAAAATCTCTCCCAAACAAGCTCTTAATTATGAAGAAACTAACCATAAAAGAGATAATTATAAACAAAATTGAAACATACATAAACAAAACATCTAGTCCTAACATATATAGAAGCACATATTAATTGATCCAAGTTAGTGTTGGCCCACTGAGTATTTAGTACAGCATAAGATTGACTTGTTTATCTCTAAACCGATCTCAAACAAGTTATTTAGCAGAGTTAAAATGAGTTCAGTTTGATTAACTTTATTATTTGCACGTTACTTCATTTATCAATTTTTTTATTAGCTTAACTCCTTTATCTAATAAGATAAGCTTGAACTAGCCATGGATGAGTCAATCTCAAGTAAAGTTCAATTGGCTCAATCATTTTACAACTCTAGACACATATCATAAACAAATTTAATCAAGCAAATGACAAATGCTATAGATGAAACCAAATTCAGCCCCAGAGATACATCAGGAACAAAACAAAAGTGAAACATAAAATAAATAAATAATAATAGAAAAAGAAAATAGAGTTCACCTCAAATGGAGCATTGAGATTAAGGTTTGCACATACAATAACAAACTTTTAGCAAATAAAAGATTATTCAAAAATACTTTCAATAACGATAAAATTATTTTTTAAGTCAATAGAGAAGATAGAGTGATAGATAGTAAAGAAAAGTAGAGATTGAAAAATGTCCGCAAGTCGGCGTTTGTTTGGCCGTATAGTTAGCATCCTCCCACCATAATAGATCCGATAACCAGCTACCAAAGAAGAAATTTGATTTCCTAAGTCAGTCATGGCAAACACTTCAAAAGTTGTACAAACTATGAAGTCCAACGCCGCCAGCTACAATAGGAATTCAACTTATACATTATTCACCAAACCCCTTATGCTATCTAAAATCAGCTCATAATTTACATTACGAATAATAACAGCAAAAATCAATGTAAAAGGTAATAAACTTGAGTTGGGTAAGCATAAGTTATATTTTTGTACCCTGACAAGTACAGAACTTGTGGACCTACCAATTGGTATTAGTGAGGAGAGTGATGCATTTATTTTTAGAACACATCCTTGCATTTTTTAGTCAAATACGTTGAAGAGAAGATCAACTAGTAATATTTCTCAACATACAGAAAGAGCCACTTATTTAATAACAAGAATCGTTAATTCCATGGGAAAGGAATATATATTGATTCCATTTAACACAATTTACAAAACTCGTAGAAATATATGACCTACTTAAAAAAAATCTATTAACATAATAACCCCTTTATTTACATGGAGTAAAATTATATTTTTATTTGTAAGTTTGATGTCACAAAATGCCTTCTAAAACTCATGAAAAAATATAATACATTCATCATTTGCAGATATCAGCATTCATAGGAGAATGTCATCTTGGATATCAAAAAATAAATTGTATCAATGTCACAAATGCAACATAATTCTGAGAAAAATGGCAAGGTTTTACTTGGAATGACCTCATTATGTTAAACCCTGGGGAAAAAAAAAGCTTCAACTTGAGGAAAATGAGTAATTCTCTTGTAATACAGCATATATTTCAATTAACTTAGGGATCATGATAATGTCCCTAAATTAAAATCATACAAAATCTGTCACATAGCTCAAGGATACACGATGTAGAAAAAGTGGAATAAAATTAAATATTTATGAATACCTCCGAATATCAACATTAACTTTCAACCCTGTGCTGGCTCCTTCTGCAAAGTGAAATAATTCCTCATGCTTCACCTGCTCAATAGATACTCATTTGTCAACTTCTTAACCTAGCATAAGATTTCAAATGGTACTAAAGGCAACTCCAAGATTGTGTGTGCTACGATAAAAAACTAAATGAAGGGTAATTGATTTTTTATAAAAAAGCTTCCACTCGAGGAAAATGAGTAATTCCCTTGTAATACAACATATATTTCAATTAACTAAGGGATCTGATAATGTCCTTAAATTAAAATCATACAAAATCTGTCACATAACTCAAGGATACACGATGTAGAAAAAGAGGAAGAAAATTAAATATTTATGAATACCTCAGAATATCAGCATTGACTTTCAACCATGTGCTGGTTCCTTCTGCAAAGTGAAACAATTCCTCATGATTCACCTGCTCAACAAATACTCATTTGTTAGCTACTTAACCTAGCATAAGATTTCAAATGGTACTAATGCAACTCCAAGATTGTGTGTGGTGAGATAAAAAAACTAAATGAAGGGTAACTGATTTTTTATATAGCTGGAAAAAAAATAATAAAAGTTAATGAAATGATTGCTATCAAAAAGTCAAAAGATTGATCATACAATTTATTTACAAGAAAAGTACATGTGAAATTTGAAGAAGATATGCACACGTCTTACAAACTCTTCCAAACCATCAAGAAGTAGAGAAATATTATAATGAACTTGATCCTTTTACCACGAATTACAGAAAAACACAATCCAATTGAATAACACACTAATCGAAGATTTAAAAACCCCATTTGATTTCAGCAACTATAAGGTTTTTGGATTTTAAGAAAAGAAGAAGCGAATACAACACCATTGATTAAAATTTGGGAGACGGGATTCCAATCATATGAAGAAATGAAAAGGCTCCAAAGAAAAATTGTTCCAGGATGATTGAATCGTAGAGAAGAACAAACAGTGAAAATAATGTGATTTTGTTACCTATGATTTGATTTCAAATGAGCAGTAAAAACAATGATGGAGAGAAAGTGAAACGAGATATGAGAAGTAGAGAGAGAGAAAACAAAGGAGGGGAAAATAAGATCTGAGGAAATCCAAATAGAAAATAGAGACGAAATTAAACAAAAAATAGTAAAGAGAGAAAAAGAAAGGATAAGTCTTGAAGGTTGTGTAAAGACATGAGTAAAGATGTATGTGAGCTTATGTGGAGAAATTGAGAAACCATGTCTTGTGAGAAGAAAACCACGTAGTGCTTGAGGGGAAAAATGTAAAATGTAAAATTGGTATATATGACATCAACATGACAAAAAGATGATGTCTTATAAATTACACAAACTTTGCTCTTTTATATATTGTAGGGATATACGCTTAAAAAATTTCTACAAAATAAGACCTTGGCTTCGAATGGAAAGACTTTATAAAACAACATAGATGCGTGCGATGAATAAATAGATAATATTTATGAGCTTATTGAAATGTATGATTAAAAATTGTTTTTTGTCATTTATAAATTTTGCTTGCTACTGGTCTACCAAATTGACATACTTGTACCCTTTTAGTTTAATGAAGTCTCAGCGTGTTCATTGTTGTTTGTGCACAATTTTTTCGCTACAATTTCTTTTCTTGAACGAGTATTGTCAAACTTTTCTATATTCAATAATCAATATAGATAAATAATCACAATTGCTATAGAAATAATGTTTGAATAAAATTTTATTCAATTGTTGCATTTGAATAAAGTTTTGTTTTTTGTGATTTCAACAAATCTAAGTTCAATTTGAATATTTTTTTTGTTTTTATGATTATAATTAGAAGTTCAATTTTTGTTCTTATGATTGTTCGGGCTGGTCATGTTGGAATTTCACCTGTGGTCATTGAGCTTGAATGAAATCTTGACTAGGTCATTAAACTTTAGCCCCTGTTTGGCCCCCATTATTTGACATTTTTGATGGGAGAATGTGTGATAGAAAAGTAATGAAAAGTTTTAGATTTGTGTGTAATATTATTTTATTTGATGAATGTGTGATTGTAATGAAAAGATAGAAAAATTTAATGTAATGTAATTTAATTTAATGGGGGCCAAATAAGGGCTTAATTTATCTCAATTGAGTAAATAACTACCATATATTTTCAAATATCACTAATTCGCCACTTGTGACCTCCGGAATTGATAAAAATCGCTTAAAATTGACGGTCATATGCATACCACAATTAATCTAACACATAATTGCTATGTTGTATACCAATTCGAAACCATGACACCTCACAATAATGGTAAAATGAAAATAATATAGAAATGTGTTAGGGATGAATGGGTATGTGAATCACTCGAAATATATGAATGAAACATGAGCTTAAACGTGCATAATCCTTATTTTATCATTTTTTTAGAGTGCTGCACCGGCACATCGCGTACATAAATAGCTCGTTTGGTGGTATTAAAATTAAATTTTTAGTATATTTTGATAAAAGTTGATGAAATGTATAGTTAAAAAGTTATGGATTCCATGAAATATGTAGTTAAAATTGATTATTAATTTTTATTTAAATTAAAATCTAGATTTTCGTCTTTACCAAATAGGAACATAATCAACGTGATATAAACTGTCAAATAAGTAATTTTCAAAAATTAGGAGATAATTGATGACAATATGCGATGGAGTCAATTGACACAAATTAAAAGTATAAGGGACCCAATTGAAACTTGGAAGAAAGTATACTAACTGTCGGTGAGATTAACAAAGCAAAGGAAAAAGAGAAAATTCGAAGGGGGAAGAAAGGGAATTCTTCAAAACCCTAAACCTGCTTAAACCCTGAATTCTTGCTGGCTAATCGTTAATCCTAGTCGAATTATTTTTTTTCCAAAAAAAATTCATTGATTTTACTGTTATTTTACGAATGGCTCATCGTTTCGTCCGATCATTACGAGGAACACTGAATTATCTTGCCCTGCAACACTCGAAACCTGTTAGTAATGTTTTCCAATCTTCATCCAGGACTTATGTTGCAGAAATGCGAAAGTCCGCGTTCGAAGGTAACATTCTCAGGCTCATACGCAATGAAATCCAGTACGAACTCGACCGCTCTCCTCCCTTTCAGGTATTATTAATCAGTTTATATATGCATTACTGTTATTATGTTATACAAAATGCGAAAATCGGTTTAAGGGTACCTTCTGATCTGAAATTGATTGAGTACACAAAGAATAAATAGAACTGGAGACTAACACTAAAGAAATTTAGAAGTATTTTGGAAACGTGAAACTGAAGACGGGTTCTGTCCTTTTTGGGATGGGAAATGGTATTCAAAATAGTTATTTTCAAATTTGAAAGGATTTTACATGAATTTAAAATCCAAGGCCCCAATTGAGCTGAACTTGCTTACTTATGGGGTCTAAACTGCGGAATTATTGATATTAAAAGTTAAAAAAAAAAAAAATGGTCCTATGTTGTTTATAATCGAATTCTATGACTGTTATTCAATGACTCTTGGACTTTTTCATAACATTTATAATATAGGTTTATCAGTGTATGATATTCAAATACAGTGGGATATTATGTTCACCAATCGCATAAATTTGATGGCAAATTAGATTATACAAATATGAAACATGTGTATGAGGATATCAGTAAAATTTGATCAACATGAATTTCTGAAGCCTCAATAATTGCAAATCGAGAGTGAGTGCGAAAAATGTTTACCTCAGTTAGGCAGCATGCTTAGCAAGTTTGGTAATTTTGAACCATGGTAGTCTAGGACAACTCTGAATTTCATGGAACAAGAGAAATATACTGTATTCCAACGAGCCATAAACATTGCATTGGGGGTGGTGTGGGGTGGAGTGGACTGAATTTCTTTTTAACGGCACCAACTTTCCCTGCATAAAACTGAAAACAGTTGCCTTGTTTCTCTATCGTTTGTTGCATAAAAGTGATCTTTACACGTGGAATTAGGAACTAGATCCTTTTCCCATGTTGCTGGAGACTTTCTTTGTCACCTACTTTATAGTTTGCTAGCCTTCTATATGCGTTGTGTCCAAACCCTCTCCAGCCACTGTTGGTGCTACAATATGTTACCTGTTTCCATATAGGATAATCATACTATTTGGTGACAATGAAAGAAATTAACTGCAGCATACTGTCTTGAATGTAAAAACTTGTTTGATAAAGGGACGAGCTTCTGAGTTTATGAGGTTTCTTTCTTCTTTACTTTCTCCTAAAGGATAGGTAGACACATTGATCATTCTTGTGAAAAGGGATCAATATTGAAAGCATGTTAAAAAAATGGTTGATTTATTTGTTATTTCTTTTTATTTTTTTCCTAATTTGCTGCTCTAGAGTATCAGTCTTCTCATATGATGCCCACTATTCTTTTTAGTAATTGATCTATAGGGTATCATCTTTGAGTATATAAAATACAAGAAGGTTATTTGTAAATTGAAGTTAGTTATGGTTTGAAGTAAAATGAGATGGAGCATTAGTGGATAATCACTTTCGGTTGTCTTAACTGTGACACTTGTAATCCTGTGTACAAGTGATGTCATTTTGTTTGTGTTATGAAATGATTCTTACTAGGAATATGCGTTGATGGGTCACTGCATTGTTTTTTGTGTACTAAAAATAATATAATATACTGGAATACCTAAATATATGTCTGTATTACAGCCTACGTCAGAATTTAATGCATTTAAGGTCGATGAACGGCCAGGAGAGCAGTGGATTAATTTAAGCAAGAAATTTGGAGAGAATGAAGAGATCAAAGTCGAAGTAACTATGTTTGATGGATCTCTTCCCATAAAAAAAGCTGGCGACATAGCTACAGAGGATGATGTACAGCTTCACATTACTATCATCGTTGACATCTTTAAGGGAGAGGACAATGATGTTCTGGAATTTGTTTGCTCTGCATGGCCAAACAGCATTGAGATTCGCAATGTCTTTACACGTGGACATAATAGAATAAAGATTCAGCCCTATATGGGACCTGGATTCAAGTATGTATTAAAATTCCATTCCCTTTGACCCGTGAATTTTTCTCTCCTCTTTCAACTTTGTAATGGAACTATGGTCAACATTCTTAGTATGATGTTGAAAAATATGATGAATCTAAAGATAGTTATCATATGCAGAATGGTTGGGCCTCTGTGTAGTTGATCTACTAGTTAATTTAAGATCTCGGTGATTAACTGCAGTTAACTAGTGCTGAAATATATCCGGAATCCAAAATGATGGCCTCTGTGTAGTTGATCCTACTCTCCTTCTATACTTGCCACCCAATCCCACCACCAATGTCAAAAAGTAAACCCATTAGTGCATTTTTTTCGCAACTACATATGGAGCCCTGGTCCTTTCATGTTGTATTTTGTTGGAGTTTGATTATTTTTTGTTTTCTTGATTTTCAGGGAATTGGATGATGAGCTGCAGGATTCACTTTATGACTTCTTAGAGGCGAGAGGTATAAATGATGAGCTTGCTGAATATTTGCATCAATACATGAAGAATAAAGATAAGACCGAGTATATCCGTTGGATGGAAACTGTCAAATCTTTCGTTGAGAAGACTAGTTAATCTAATTCTTTGAGACACTGGTTCCCGGGTCATGATAGCTCTCACTGCAGAATCACCGTTCCTGGAATGTAAGTTCTTTAATCTTCATTTTGTGTTCCATTTCAAAGATTATCGAAAAGTAGGACGAATCATCCAGGATAATGTTTAGGCTTCTTGTCTTCCTAATCTGGCAAATATTTCGTTGGGTTCTCGTTTTAAACCGTCTATGTGATGTAGTTTGACTAGATCTAAATCAATTTTAGTTTTTAGATTCTTTGATGGCCGAATCACTCCATAAATCCTCTCCGTTTGCTTTATTATCATTTCCTTCAAAATCATATTTCTCCCATCTTCATATGTTTCTTAATTCAATGAATTAAATGTAATTTAAATATTACACATGAAGTTCCATGTTGCATAAAAATTGAATAATGCTATTCATCATCATTGTGCTCAGCACCGGCTCAAGTGGCAGTATTTCCCATTGTCTCGCCTCATCATCCAAGGAATGGATAAGTCAGCTGAAATATATGTTCGATTGGTAGTATTCCCCATTGTCTCGTGTCCAAGGAGTGAAATGCAGTTGAAATCCTTTCTATTGGTTCTTGTGTGGGGTAACAGCACGGGTTGTCATCTTTTCAAACCATATATCAAGATGGGTGAAATCTACCTATAGATGGACATCACTAGTAGAACAACAATCCCAGCAATGATACCAACACAGATCAACCTCCATGTGAGAGTCTCGATGAACTTAACCCCTGTTTGGTGAGGATTAAAATCAATTTTTTAGTAAATTTTAATAAAAATTGATTAAATGTGTGGTTGAAAAGTTGTGGATTCTCTGAAATGTGTGTGGTTAAAATTAGTTGTTGACTTTAATTTAGATTAAAATATGAATTATAATTTCTACCTAACAGGGGGCTTAGTGTGGGTAACATTTTAGACGTCTTAACCTTTTGACACTGAAAGATGCCATTGTTCTTGCTGAAGCTAAAGAGTCGCTTATGACCCATAGAGAGTAGATAAAAATAAGTGATGAATTAGTGGGAGTGCTTGTGGGTTTTTTGAAATGTACGAGTAAAAAGTGGCTTTAGTGTATAGGCTATAAACATGAGCTATAAAGAAATGGGACATTCTTAAAACTAAGGTTATGACTCCATTGTCAACTAAACCTAAACTAGTGGAGAGTAGTGCAACGTAACATTACTCAAACTCTTGTGCATCAAATCATTTAAGGCTGCACAATTGGACACAAACGTTCAATCTGCACATCAAACAATGCTATGATCTGATAGCTTATGATCATCCATCCTCGGACTTAATTCATAGAAAAATAATAATATTTTGAGACAGTGCATGGTAGCTTAAACCATTGAGGCTATGTTTGATTCACCATTATTTTTCATGGAAAATAAAAAAGGAATTTCAACTTCCACTTTTTGAGTGTTTGATAGCATTTTTTTCAAGGCAATTTGTTTTTTTAGTTGTGGTTCTCACGTGCCACTTTCCTTGATTTATGAGAAAATCAATTCCCACTCTTTTCTTTTTTACAATTGGAAAAAATTTTAGAAACAATGGTAAAAAAAAAATTCACTTTTATAGACAATTTCCATGCAAAATAACGTGTCAAACGAATTGTATATGGTATGGTAATTTTTTTTTTTAGGCAATTGGAACAAATTTTATAACTAATTATAAAAAAAAAAAAATCATTTTAATGAAAAAATGATTTTCTTGAATTTTTTTTTTTTACTTTTTGACAATGAAAACAAATTTTATAACCAACTGTGAAAAAAATTATCACTTTAATAGACACTTTCCATATAAAACAAAG